AGACCTTTTTTTCTGTTGGTTAGCTGGTGGAAACGTCAACTCACTTCTGCCTTTTAAATTTCCCCCTTTTTTCGCAGCCTTCTCCGTTCTTTTGCGTAGCCCTCAGGTGCTAATGAATTCATAATGGAAGCGGGCATTGGGACAGGCCATAAATTATGGACCGCTGCGATGGGGATATACTTTTTTAAGGTACTGTCGAAAAATGGTGGAAAAAAGGGGCCAACCAGAATATTTTGCCCGTCGGCGTTTGTCAGTTGAGCGGGCGAGATGGTAATTTTATTTAAAGCTAAATTTGAGTTAGGACTGTAGGGTTTAAGGAGGAATTTAACTTTTTTACTTATCAGAAACTGGAAATATTAACAAATTAAGAAATCATCATAGCTTCCTTAAAAGCCCTTCCCTAGAGGAAGCCTTCCTCTAAACTATTTTCATTCCAAACAAGTTGATCATGTTTTCCCTTGATCAATTTACATTGCTTCCGAGCTAATCCATTGAGTAATTGACATTCGATTATTAATTTCAATTTGAGTTGCTAAGAAATTCATGGCTCTGGCTCCAGGAGTTCTATTTGCTGCCTTCCATCTTGCCCCGTTGCAAATGTCACTCGGTTATGGCTATTTGCCTTCGGAATCTTTTATTAATTGAATGAAAAATGCATTTTCCAAACGGGGGCCTAAATCAAATAACTGTGTGTTTGTTTGAGCGGGCACCGCAAAAAGCAATTTGATTGGAATTAAAATTCGAAATAGAATAAACAAAAGTCGATCGAAGTATGGGGATAAGAACGTTGGCCCATCCCTTGGAAGCCCTTTTCCGGACCTGATTTCAGTGCAGCATTTTAGTGCAGGACAGGCGGGTATCTGCAGGCCCAGATATAGATACAAATCCCAATCCCGTCTGGGCAGATGCTGATGCCAAAGCTGATCCTTAGCTTGTGTTGTAACAAGTTAATTGAATTTGCACTCAGCCAAGCGTCATGCATTGGGGCATCATGAGCTTACGAGTGCACTAAGGAAAGTTAGGAGGTAAAAGTGTGAAACTTCATAGACTTTCTCTGGAAATAGGATAGGAGAAGGTTTATGATTGGTAAAGATAAGACTATTTATTAATGCTTTTTCTTTTAAGGACATAAAATAATGCGTTAAGATAGCAAGCTTAACATATTTCATCTTAAAAATAGTTTCAGATCGATTTTTGTACAGTTTTCCAAAAATTTGACCAATTTATCAAAAAATGGCAAAGTTTTTAATTAATCGCTCAGCATTAGTTCTGGCATTATCATTGAAAAACTTTGTCTTGAATTTATCGTTTCGGAACACTGTTTCCCAATTTTGAGAAAAACTCTTTTCTCCATGTGGAAAATGAGCTGGGAAAAGCGGAGGCCACTGGCGGAGCTGCAGCTACCGATACAAGTTGCTTATTTTATGGCCAACTCTAATGGAGGACTCGATTCTGATTCCGGCTTCTACTTCGCTTGGCATTTAGCTGGCTGTGCCTCTGCCCCACCCTATACCTCTCCTCCATTTGTTTCGCCTCGATTTTTCCAATTTTGTGATTTGCACAGATTTCAACCTGACGTCCTTGCCTCATGGTCTATCCTTCGCTACCGCCGGGTCCTTGGGGCTGGGTTAGTTTGTTGCCAGTGTTTTGCCGTCTGTGCTTATCCAGCAACATTGTCGAAGGTGAAACCAGGGCTTCCAAGTGCATTAAGCGCATGTGAACCGGTGCCAAACAATGACGCCTCCAAAGCCACTCCTTGCACTCCCGCCTTGCCATCCTTGCGTTGATCCTGGCAGACAAATGACTAACCTAAAGGATTCAGAAGGCGAGAGGATGGCCATGGGTATGGGTAAGAAAAGGGGGGCACTGAAAGTAGCGAGAGTGTGCTTTTAGCAGATTAGTTTTCATCATCTTAACATTCCTAATTAATGAGGCCTTTGTCGCTCCAGCTCAGCTCAGCTCCTCTTTTAGGTGTTAAATCAAAGACCTTAGCCCGGCGTGCATGTCTAATGAGTAATGAGGAATACGGGCAAACCCTATACCCTCCCATCACCGTGTGCAAAAAAGAAAAACACCTTGTTTTCCCACTTTCCCTATACCCATCCTTGTAATGAGCAAAAAGATTGTCTTCGTTCTTCCAACGAACAATGCAAAATTCCCTGGCAGCTCATTAAATGTTGAACAAAGGCTTGCATAGTGTTCATTAAATGTTGCAACAAAGTTGTATTATTTTCAATTAGTTTTTCATTTGAATGGAATTTTATCAACTAATTCAGAGACCGCTATTTCCATTTCCCACTCTCAGCAGGACAGCGCCAGAAACCAAATCACATTTCACAAATGACATTTCACCGAAAATCAACTGAAATGAAACCAACTGATTTTACAATTTCAGAATTATTTTTGTTTGCAATTTTAATATGATTTTTCGAGCTGGGCGAGAGCACTCATTAACACGCTTCCATGGCACTTAATTAGGCCTGGCAAATGTTTGCCAGTAATGCAAATGGACATCAACACTCGCCACTTGATGAATGGCATTTCCTCATTTATGTTTGATATTCGAGTGCTAATAGTCATAATAATGCCGCATAATGAGTGCCGAAGCCCGACAATGAATGCCAACTTTTAGTTAAAAGTCAACTGAAATCAAAACACTGCAAAATGCAAAAACCGAAAAGTTTGTAAAACTAATTTCCTCCTGGTTGTGAAAGGGGTGGGGAGGGTGGTTGGATGGCAATCTGGAGGGAAACGTCAAAATGTTTTTGACAAGTCCAATTTTGAAATTTTGAAATTTCGCCGTAATTAACTTTCTGGCAAAGGCAATTAGCGACCGCACACAAACTCATTTATATTGTGTTCACGGATTACAAATATATACATAGAAATATGGAATTAGCTATATATATATATGTATATAGAATATGTATATATTGAAGCTTTGTTGTCGCCATCCAATGTGGTTCACCCCATTTAGCACGCTGCTCACGAAGTCTAACAATATCGTAAATAATGAAGTCAATTGCATTTTGCATAATAATTACAGTGTAAATATTGCAAAACAGGGGCGGTTCAAGAATGGTTGAGTTTTTAAATCAATATTATTCGAGTTTAAGGGTTGCCAGTAATGTTATTAATAAGAATTAATAAATATTTGACATTAATTATTATTGTGAACAGCGGCTAATTCGCATCCCTATCGATAGCCCGATAGTGTTGGGAAACGCCTAGTTAGTAGTGATGCCAAGAGACGATAGAAAGAGCTAGAAGAAAACTGGAGAAGAACAACGTGTGCAAAGCGATTTATAGTTTTGATTCCCACTCAATTATCCACATAATAATAAACTACATACCACTCAAAAAGCTACCCTTCACATTATCAAAGCAAGAGCAAATATGGCTGGAATATCTTTTGTTTGATTCATAAGAAGTTTACATAAAGCTTAAAGTTTTGTAAAAATGATAAGTGCTAGATATTAACATTTCCTAATTAAAGAGCCCTACTTTCAAACTCACCTGATCCGCTCCTGTGCATGGAAATAAAGTGCAGGGATCGAAATGAGCCAGGCGCCAGTCCTCCCGTCGAGCTGAGTGGCTAAGTGGAGTGGTGGGCTGAATAAGTGGGTAACTGGGGAGCGTGTTAGCAGCCAGCGAGTGAGTGATGAAGCGCGTCACGTCGACAGCAGGAACATCAGGAACAGCAGGAGCAGAAGAAGCACCATGAACAACGGGAACACCGGGATGGATGGCAAATGGAGCTTCGTGGAGATGCCAATGAGAACGGCAGCCGCGGTTGGCTGACATTACACTTGTCAACGGGTATAATTGCGTTGACTTCTCCTCATCACCCCCCACTAACTGTTAGAGTTGGCAGCCAGAAACTCAAAGGTATGGCTAGAAATCTATCTATTGGAACAGCTTTTCAGATTTTAGTAAACTGTTTACTAAATGAAACAGGAAATAAGGTTAAAGTTAACTTTAACTAATATGTATAGTTTTTGCTAAGAAAGAGTTCTTGTTTTAATATTCTATTATATGAAATTAGATACTGAATGTGCCACCACTGTCCTCCAATGATGACTCTGATGAGTGTGACTATTCCATGACTATGACTATGACTATGTCTATGTCTATAAGTATGGCAAATGCCGTTGACTTGAAGCACAATACAGCACAATAATTGCCAATTGACGGCAGCTTGGGGGCGCATCAATAACGAGTGGTTGTCATCCGATGGTAACCACCCAACCCGCCACCCATCAATCCATCCAGTGCACCATCGTAGGTTCCATAGGAAACACCGCTGGCAGCGAAATCACACCCATTTATCAGGAGGAACAACTCGGGAGACGAACGTCCACGGCGGCGGCTAATTGCAGTTCATGCGAAAAACATCGTTAATCACTCATTGACAGTTTGTTATTTGTTAAACAAAGCTAATGACTTAATGGCATAAATGGTGTGGCAACTGCACCGCGACATCCACCGAAGGATATCGAAAGTCGAAACGGGACGGAGCAGCAGCAGCAGCAGTAGTGGAATAAATGACACGACAGCTCAGGGCAGCCCGGTCTTCGTGTTCCGTATTTATGTAGATAAACAATAAGCTGACAAGCCGGGGCAAAATTAATTGTCCTGGACAGCCTGGGTGGGTTGCCTGGTCGGAGGAGGAGGAGTGGCGTGGCTTTGTGGATGATCACGATATGCCCATGGGGCCGAAGCAACTAGTTAAAGGTCCTAAAATAATCCCTGTTCCCCAGGGGAAACGCGGTTTAGGGAAGGAGCAACTAAATATAAAGTCGAGTAAAAATGTACGAACTGTGTACTATTTATACCAAAACAAAGATTAGGTATAAAGATAGAGTTTACTAAGAAAGGAGAGCGGTCATTAACCTATTTTTTATATATTTTGTAGACTTTTTTGGCCTTGCTTTCTAGTCTTTCCCTTTATTTTAATAATTTACCATAAATACAATACAAAATTCCTTTAGCTGACATGATTGCTTCTGTAAAACTGAATAGTATTTATTGGGTTTTAATTTAAAGAAAAACCTTTTCATAAAGTTCTAGCAAAACTCCGTATCGCTTGGAAAGCGCTTTTCACGTCCTTTTCGAAACACATGTCGAGGCCTTCGTTCTATTTGGCGAAGCCTCTCCAGACTCTCCTCCCCTTCAAGGTCCGGACCTGGAACATGGGCTTGGATAAGGGTATTTCTGAAACTTTCCGCTGCTCGGCGGGCATCTTCGGTATTACGCATTTGCATGACCACGGTTTCCGGCAGATGGATCGCATTCCGGCCGATTGGAGTTTGCCGGGTGGTGGGCACAGTAGGGGCCATGACTATACGAGAGGGACACTGGGTGGCCAAATCACATTGATTGATTCTCCTGGGCTTTGGGCGGACCTTGTACTTGCAACAGTTGTCATGGAACATCTTAGATGAGTGAATCCTTGGACGAGGATGGTGAGGTAGACATTGACAGGGACCGTGGGCTTGAACGTGGTGTCTCAAGGGATTCTTTAGATTTCTTTTCTTAGGACTGCGGCCATTTGGTTGCAACTTGTCTTTCTTGGTTCTCTTCTGGCCTCGTGCCATTTACACGATGGGGTTACAACGAATTTTGGATAGCCTAAAAAGAGGAAAACTCTGTCATTTTCAATAATCTAGTTTTACAAGGCCGCTCTGATTAAGATATTGAAATTCCTGTACATTTTACATGGAGTTTAATAAGGGCATCCAAGTAGGCTTTTCCCGACAATGTCAGCAGCTTAGGTCGTGTCCGATAGCCCAACTTCATTCGTATTTAGTTCGTTGTAAGAATCAGATCTATTAGAAAAAGTAGAAACCAAAAATTCGAAAAATTTATATTTCGTACAAAATTTGAAGTGAAACTTTTTATAATTCTTTCGGTAGTCCGTGATTTTCCACAAATTAAAAATGAATTTTTGTTCGGTGCCTTACGAAGCTGATTACGGCATGTATGCTGACTCGAAGGTAATTATAGGGAAGGCACCTTAGGACAAAGGATTAACTCTTTTCTTCTAGATGAAGAGCGTGCCTCAGTATCCGTTGAGCATGAGCCCTGGACAGGGCCAAGGACAGTCTCTGGCCATGCAGCCCCTGAATCCACCGCAGATGAATCTGCAGATGCAGATGCCGATGTCGAGTGCTGCTCAGATGTCCTCGTTCCCCATACAGGGTATGCCGATGGGCATGATACCTGCTGGAAATCAGATGACCGCCATGTCCACGACGACCACACAGCTGCCACTGGGAGCGGTCACTCCTCTTAGCAGCATGACCATGATGCCCATGATGGGTAATCCCATGGGTGCTATTGATGCCCCTGGGATAAATGCCGTGCTGCCAGACCTGCAGCCCATGACCTCGATGGGCCAGATGCAGCCGATGCAGCAGTTTAATCAATCGCCGTCCGCCACCCAAATGCATCAGGGTCGTCTGACTGGAGGAGGCAATGGGATGTCAGCGACGTGTCCCTCTTCGCCGTCGCATGCCGGTGGCTGGAGCACTAGTCCTAACGCCAACCAGATGATGACCAACGGCAACATGTGGCCATATAGCCAGGTCATTCAGAATTCCCAGCCGCAGTACCACCACCACCACCAGCAGCAGCAGCCGCAGCAGCAGCATCACTACCAACAGCAACAGCAGGTCACAAGGATGAAGCCCTCCTACGAGATGTCGCCTTCTGGCATGTATCGGGACATTCGGAACGGACTGAAGTAAGTAGATCTCGTCTAGGGGTTCAGCATCCTAATTCGATCTATAGCAATCCCTTTTAATTTCCAAACCACAGCACACCGTCCATGCACGAATCTGCGAAGAACGGCAAGGGCAATCAATCATTCAATTGTGGTGAGTAAAATATCTGCAGGAACTAGGAAATAGAATCATAAATTATGTCAGGATAGGATTTTAAAAAGATTTTGTCCGCTCTAATTAATATATTTTCCTTTCAGGAAAATCGGTTGGCAAAGTCCCCCATTGGCGTTGACGACCTCTTTGAGCCCATCAAGTTGATTTTTGTGGATTTCGTGATTGGTGTCTCTCCATTTACACTCCCCTACACACTTTTCCATCGCAAGCATACACTCACATGCACACACTCACAAGCACAAACACACCTAGAACAAGAACGTGGTCACAAACATATTGGTGTGGAATAAATGGTTTATATGTTTTGGCCGAAAAGGAATTATTCAGTCCTAAGTTTTCGTGTGGCGACTTTAAACGCCCTGATTTATAGCCGTCAGACATCAAAATTGGCAACATGTTTTTAGGAGGGAGGGAGGGTCGGCCGGTCGGTTTACTGAGGGAAAATTGAACGAAGGAAAAGCGCCAATGGCGATGGCGATGGCTATGACTATGGCGATGAAAAATTTATGCTGACCGCATGATGAACGCATAAAAAATGTTGCCAACTTATGGCCAAAATGCAATCCACAACCAGCCAGTCGCTGTGCGGAGTATAAACAAAGGCTTTATCGGTCCAAAGGCATCAGTTGGTTGGCTTTCTCTGCCCTCCGAACCACCCTCCCTCCATCAGTCCCCCGGAAAATCCCTTTCCCACCGGAGTCGTTAGATTTTCTGGCAGCCGGGCCAAGGTGTGAATATTTTATGTGGCACTATTTTGATACCATAAATCTTTTAGTAGTTGATTCAGCAAAGTTTTGCCTGTTACCGCATTTCGTTATGTGGTCTCAGCTCAGTTCGTTTCGCTGCGTTTCTTTCAATTTCTGCATTTTGAATTTCGCAGTGATGGAATTCTCGTTTGATGGTCACAACGATTGTGGCTAAATCGGCTTTGGTTTTTGATTGATTAAGTTGGTTATTTAATTCCGATTGTATGACCAAGATTTGGCAACAATGCAATAAAATACCTTTTATGAAAAAGAGCAAATCCCGAAAGGAGTTTATTATTAAGTGCTTTCCAATATATTTAATCTGACTTTCGTGTGATCGAAGTTAAAACATAAGAGCTTTCCCCAAAAACTATAACCACATGGCAAGAAAGCCGAAAGGGGCTATAATCTTTGACCATTGGGAGCAGAAACCGCCCGATTCGGGCATAAAATGCACATACCCCAAATTGAACGCAAGCGTTTTACATTTTTCAGAGGGCATCATTAAAATTAAGAGAAAAGTAAAAAAGAATAAGGAAAAACTAAGCCACAAAAACAGACAGCTGAATGGACGTTGAATGGACAATTTGAAAAGTTTTGGGCAAGGAAACTGCAGCCCTGGACAATGCGAGAATGGTCCCACTCTGGATGAGAAGTTTCCTGAGAGAGAGAAAGAGAGTAGAGTGGAGTGCTGTGGGGGTGGTGGAGCCAGGGGAGGATTGTCAAAAGTTTTTCGGAGGAGCCCTACATCGTTCCCAAAGCGCTGCAGCTGCCCTCTGGATGCAAAATTTTATTCATGACGGAAGCAATACTCAAATTTCGTCTATTAATATCTGGTAAGGGCTCTTTTCGGGGGGCGTTGGAGAAGTTCTGGGTCCAGCTGTCAGTCCGTAGCTGGGTCCAACTTCCAGGCTCTCTACGTATCCCAACATCTGTCCAAGTGTCAGTCCAACTGTCTGTTTGTCTAACTGACACACACACACACACACACACACGTACCGTCGCTCATCTAAACAAATGCGCATAGAGATGTGGTCAGCAGGAGTTGGTGGTGTTATGCACTTGGAAAAATTCTTAATGAGTTTGAGAAATTTAATAATTTTCTTTGGAGTACTAAATCCGTGAGGGAAAATGTTTTTTGATTTCTTAAATATTGCTTTTTAAATTATAATATAATTTATTTTATATTTTCAATAAAAACAATTTAAGAAAAGTAATTTCTACTCATAATTTATTTCAGTGTATAGCCATGTTAGTGTTGGTACAGTTAGCCCGCTTGCACATTGCCAACATAACCTCAAATTGCATTCCTAATTCCTTTTATACTCCATCTCATCCCAAGCTTTCCCCCGGGGGAGCATTTTCTGCAAAATGTGCAATTTCCGCTTGAAAGGCTGGCGCTAGCTGCTGGCTGGCATACAATCCATCCCCGAATTCCTGGAAATATTTTGCAAAACAGAAATTTATTATAGCCATTTTATTATTTTGCGGGCCAACTTCATGTTGGCCCCAACATGCATACGTCATATTATTGTCCAAAGTGGAACGAAACGGAAGTCAGTCAGTCAGGCAGCCAGCCAGCCAGTCAGGTGAGGTGGCAGAAACACTTTCCATCTGCAGATACCAGGCGGTAAAATATTCCAGCCACTTACATTGGGCAAATGTTTTGTTTTGGATTGTTGAGTGAGCTGAAAGCTGCCAACAAGCGGGTTTTATGTTTTTGAAATTTGAATAATTAAAATGCATCAAAATAGACGAAAGATGAAGTTCTTTTTTCCTGCAAATAGATTAGGAGTACCTGAATGCTAAGAGGTTTGAAGTAAAAGAGGTAATGGGACTATGGTTACCTCAGATCTAGTAAAAATTTCCCGATTAAATGAAAAACATTTCCAAGGCTGTTCATTTAGCCCTGGCTTACAGAAATCAGTACACTTAAAATTGTTTTAAAATACTTAAGCTGCTGTTTGTCAATTACCATTTACATTCCCAGCTTGTTGGTTTGATGTCGAGCGATGTTGTGTTTTAACCTCAGCAAAGGCAAACTTGTGGCATCCACAATGAACATGAATTTTAACTTGTCGTTTGTTGCATTTGTCAACTGTTGTCGTTGTTGTTGTCATTCCTGATGCCGCTGTTGTTTTTGCCTGCAGTTCCTGCGGCTCCTGTCCATGTGCCACTCCTGGCTATTGACAGAGATCCGAGAACTAAACTCATTCGCACTTGGACGGAAATGCTTGATGTGTCCTCAGTGCCCGTTTAGCCGTCTCTTTCTCCACCAGTTAAGCTATCTCTTTCCCTCGCTGCAGTGCAAAGTTCGTGTGCCTTGTTTTAGAATTTGCAGTCTGCTTTTCTGATTGTTAGCCACCCCCTCTCGGATCTCTGCTACCCGTTCTATGTGGGCCAAACTTTTTGAAACTGTGCCAACTTTTGGCTTGTTTTTCCCTGATAACTTCATCATCGTCGACATCCTCTCGTCATTCTCATTCAAGTGGAACCAAAAAATGACGCAAAAAAAGGAAAATCCTCCACACAAAGAAACTGAAAACTCGTTGGCCAAATGTTTTGTCATGATTTTCCCTTTCCCTGCATATGGCTGTCTCCTTCGGTGTTCGGGGTCTCCCTTTCTCCCATGGACTCCTGTCAATGGAGAACCTGCATCTTGACTGGTATGCACATCACTTGGCCCAGATTATCGAACATTCAAGTAGCGGCGAAGGAGAGCAGCATAGGGCAAGGGAAAGGAGAGGAGTACAGGAGAAATTCCATTACTGAAACTTGTATAAATTTGTCTATTTTAGTTACTTTAATAATTTATTAATATATTAATAATGTTTTGATTAATATAGTGATTTAGGCAAACTTTTCATTTTCTAGTTCAATCTATCTATAATGAAAGCATGGTTATAAGGCAATTCAATACCGTTTTGAAAAACTTCGAAAATTATGGAGTACAAAGAGAAATCTATTATTTTTCATTTAAAGTTTGCGATCTACAATCATAATCGTCAAGACTATCAAATGTGAGCGGAAAATTACGGGAAATTGCGGGTTGGCCATTAAAAACTTTGTTTGAATCAGGGAAATTCGATATACTGAAGCTCGTCTGTAGAGCATTTTCCACCTGAACTAATGGCTTTTTGTTTGGCACATTTTGCAGCTTTGAGTAATTAAATTTATGGATGCATAAAATGGCAACCTGTTCGATGCTGGACCAACAACCCCCGCCTCGCCGTCCCCCTCCATCGCCTCTTCAAATGTTTGACTTTTTCGGCCATGTCCATAAATGTCCGACCGAAGGTCCCGCTGTCCATTTGGGCCACATCCACATCCACAGCCACATCCACATCCAATGAGCGGCTTATGGGCGCCCGATGCTGCTTTGCTGGCTATTAATTTCGAGTGGTTCGGTTCACTTTCGGGCCCATGTGTACACATGTTTGGGCTTGTAAAAATGTCATGTTAATTTGTGGATTGTGCGACCGAAATGGAGCACCGAAAGAGAGCCAAAGTCGGGCGAGGCATGCAAATAAATGTCTCGCAGAAGCCAGCCACCCACTCACAGAGGCACTGAGGGAAAATGCTTAATACTTACACTTTGAATCCCAAAGGGGTCTTGTGATTAACTCAAGGTTGGTTACACATTTATTTTTGATTAATAAATAAGTGATTAGTATTACTTAGTAGTATTACTCATACGCACTGTTACCACATTTTACCTATATACACGGAGTAGATTTTCGTTTGATTACTGGTTTTAAGCCCATTAAATTTCTCTCAGTGCCTACTCTGCTCTTCACACAGATACATTCTCACCCACTCACACACACACATAGATACACCCGCCCACGCATCGCCAAGGAGCGAAAGAGACGGGGAACTCGGCTTTGGCGACGTGCTTTTTGCAGATTTATGAGTGAATCTGATAAGTGCTGCCAATAAATTTTCGGACAACAATTTACAATGTTCGGCCCATGTTCGTTTCCTTGCGTTTTCCATGAGGGAATCGACTGAAATTGGGATTGGCCTGGGTAACGTATTTTTGGATATTTTATTGCAATCTTCAGAACAAAAGTAGGCTGAAGGAAGATTCCAGCCTGCGGAGGCTTCAACAAATAAGGGAAAACATTTTTGGCTTAACTCAAACTACAAAACAGGAAAATATTATGGATTTTATTGGTTTGGAAAGTTATTAAAAAGGTACTTCAATCGGAAAGAAACTTACTTTCTACAGGATAAACGCTTGTTTCTATGATAAAAATGTCTTTTTCGTTTCCTATTTTTGAATGTACAGAAAACAGAAACATGGAGTTCTCTGCAAAGGAAAATAAATATTGCTATTCCATTGCTTAATCTCTCTTTTTGGAAATAAAAACCATTTTGCTAAGAGTGATGACATGTTGACATTTTATATATGATTAGAAAGTTTTTATTTTTGTCTTAAAATTCGTTTCATCAACTAAATAAAAAGAAAATTAAAACAGGGTTCTTCTAAAAATAAGTTTATTGTCTCTCTATAACTAAAACAAGGTTTAAACTTGTTTAATATTTTGATGTAATTCGTAAGTAAGCAAGTCCATTTTCATTTATCCACTTTAATCGGCTTATAACTTTTATTGCAAAGTTAAAGTGAAGAAAATCGACAGAGAACAAGCACATATCTTGTTTCATTAGTTTATTTATGCTTTTATAATATTTTTATGGCTTAACCTTAAGTCCACCATTCGTTTGTAATCCCTCCAATTATTCTATTTCTTGAGGACTTACCGCAAACTTCCTGCAGCTCGCCAAATGAACAAGTGCCCATACATTGCGCATACGTACGTATACGTAATGTAATCACAAACATTGCCACACACACATACACACCCAGGAGCATCAACACAAATCCAACAATGGCAACAAAACCACAGAGAAATCAGTGAATTATACAACATTTAAGCAAACAGAGAATGCCAACGCTCGCTCGTTCGAGGATGCATAGAAATCGAGCAGAATTAAGTTAAGGCGCTTCCGACAAACCCACACATTCGTGCCCACTTTTCTCACACAACTCCTCTTTTATTCCGCCGCCTGGAAAACACAATGCTCCTAGAGAGCCCAAGTTGGCCAAAAACTTTACACACTGCCAAGCTGAACGGGTTGAGGGATAGTAGTGACTGAAAGAAACCATCGCACCAGAAGTGAAATAAAGTTGAATGTAAGCAAACAAGTTGAACCAACAAACCAAGTCTCTAATTGTATTTGTGTGTTAGTGTGCTAGTGTGTGTGTGTGCGGTGGGCGTTAGTACCGGAGGCGTGGCAGTGTGTTTTATGCGGCAAACCGGAACGCACCACTTCGGTGGGTACAAAATATGAAGAAGCCAAATCAGCGGGCGAAATGCAAGGAAGTCTGACGAGGGAAAAACCCGGAGCAAGTCCGAATCCAACAAGACGTGAAATGCAACTTTTTCGGCACAACGCTCGAGCACAAAAGCCTGGCCGAAAAGCACACACACATAGAGCAACCAACAACCAACATTCTGGCCAACAAAAGGCCGGGCAAATGTACAAAAGCCAAACAAGAATGGCGAACCAAGGAGTTCTGCACAAGGAGCCATCGAATCCCAACGAATTCCTCATATCCTCGCCTCCAAGGACCCTCTATTCGTGGCGCAGTTTTGTGGCACTTTGAGGTGAGGCGTTCCGGGACTTTAGCCTAAGCCTTCTCCAGCTGCAACTGAATCCGGATGTCGTTCTTCCAGGCACCGAAACAGAAGGAACCAAATAAGCCCTACGCAGAAGGATAGAAAATTTTGGATTCTGTAACTCGGCTATATGATACCCATTGAGGTGTATTTGTTAGATGATAAATACAAATTCTTATTAACTAATCGAGGTACATTATGACACTGAAAACTAGTACATTTAAACTGTAATCTAAAGATAGTCATAGACTATCTACATTCGTTACACAGCAGATGCAGTATGCCTTCGAAAGCTGCCTGGAGAGAACCAACCGGAAATATGGCAACGAAAATGGGACAATCGAAGTGAAAGGGATGTAAAGAAAAGAGAGGAAAACAGGGGACCAGAAAATACAGAATGGAGGCAGCGACATGAGTACATTTGTTTATGCGGAAACCGAAAAGATGGAGCTGCCTCGTCCTGCTCCCGCTACCACTCCGCTCCCGCAGGACTCCTTCAACTGGCAAGCGTTGAAATGGAACAAATGAACTAAGTCGAGAATTGCCAACTGCACACTTGAGTCGCACAACGAATGAAATAAAGCCCACAAAAGGAGCAGCCACAGCATCAGAGCTCCAGAGTTCCAACAGAGGCAGCCCGAACAAATGATTTCACAAGAAAAGTTAAACTTGTAAATTCAAATTTCACATTTGTCTGGAATTCGCAATTACACTTTGGCAACAACAATGAAATATGTCCGCTTGCTACATGGCTACACACCTGCCCAAAAATCGGATTGGGATGGCAAGTGGGCGGCATTTGCCCCTTTAATCCACCTTCCCAAGCTCTCCTCCCCGCTTCATGGCTCATTGTTCGTTCCCTGGCAAATGGAGCATTGAGTGGAGAGGACCAGGAGAGCTGCCTCCTAAAGCATATTGTAATAATCCAAATGAAATTAAATGTACCGTAAACATTTCGAATTACGAGAGCTACAGCAACTTCAAGGTTCTGGCATGCCACAGCAACAACAATGAGGAGATCTATGCTTGGTTTACCGACTATAGGATACCTAGTAAACAAAATTTGAGAGACATTACCACCTGAAACTTGAAAAACTTTTGATCTGCCTGTTGTTATATTACATATTATAAACAACGGGTGTTATTTAATCGAAATATAAATTTCTTAGCAAGTTTTTAGCAATTGATTAACTTAGTCAAAGGAACCCATATATCACCACTTTATATTAAATAAAATAGTCTTTGCACAATATTTAAGTTACATCCTTCTAGCTGTGGTAACCAGATGCCTCCATTGAGCTGGATACCCTGTAAAAATGGGAACAGCAGCAGGTGCACGCGGTGCCCCAAGCAGTGAGCCAATAAAAATGTCCGTAATTGCAGATGGGAAGCATGGCCAGAATTTGGATTGGGAATAGTATGTAGGATGTGGGAACCAGTAGGGAGAGGGAATCCACATTAGCTGGATGTGGAATGCAAATGGCTAAATTTTTCGGTGCAATTTTGTGAGAGCTTCTTTTGAGATAATTCCAAAATTAAAAAGTTTTGTAAAAAGCGAATTCTTAGCAAGTAAGTCAGAAAAACTAATGAAAAACATAAAATCTGTTTAAAATTATAACTTAAGGTATTAATGAACACGAAATAGTTTCGTGTATGTATTATTATTCTCTAATGATAATGTTAACTAATATCTTCTCTTATAAAATAAACAAATAAAATTCATTACCTAATTCCCGATAATTTTCAAAAATTCCTCATCAAATTCCAATAAAATTAGCCTGCTTAGCAACCCATCATCATCATCATCACTCGTAAACATTGCAAATTACCACCCACAGCCAGGCAAATCACTATAACAATATTTCAATCGGTCCACATCGATCTGGATACCCTCGGAGCTATTCGAGCAACTATTCAATTGGCTCGACTGTTGGCAAGGCACCATTAAATTAGCGAAATCAGGCAAGTAAAATAAGAAAAAACGATCGACTTAAGTAAAAGCCGGCCGACAAAATTGCACATTTTACAAGTTTACGAACCACTAAACGGAGCCAAGAGGATCGCCGAAGCCTTTTTGGTGAATTTATTTCTAAAACAACTCTATCGCGATCACCTGGCAACGCAGAGCGGCCCATAAAGCCAGCGATTTATTGCCCGAGTCGGCAACAATTTGACAAGCAAATTGCTATAATTTCTGGACATTGCAAACGGTGGGGAATCCCCTTATTGCTGGCCAAGAATGTTGTGTGGACTTGGGGCCACGACATGAGCAGCGCTTTTTCGCGCTTTTATCTGAGGAAATTTATGTTGGCGATAAAGCCCCGACGACTACTGGACTGGAACTTCTCATCTCAGCTCTTCACTACTTTGCTGTTCTCTGGAGAATCCACAGCCAGGCATTACTTGGCCTAAGGCTGGCATCTAATTGCTTGGCCATCCATTCGGATGGATCGGCGTTGTCCGTTAAATTGCCATAATTTTGCTGGCTTTACGAGCTGCCAGGGAATCTTTTTGCCAACATTTTTCGACCTGCCAGAATTTTCAGAAAAATAGTTGGGAGCCTTAAAGTTTGCACCAAAAGTTTTGGAGATCATTTTGGGCTATTAAATGGCAATTAAATGCGTGACGTGTGTGGTCCGCAGAGGTCATAAATCGCAAAGGAAGAGCATCCACAAATGGCAATCATCATTAAAAATGCAAAGAAGCATTAAATTGGCCAAAATGAGGGAGAGAGGAGCTCAGAAACATAAATGATTTCCTTGGGCATCATCAAAAGCCGTGATAAGGAAATGTTTGCCTTTTCTTTTCGAGTCGTAAAGGCAGTGCCATAAAAATTAAAAGAAAATCACAATTTTGGTTTTGTTTTGTAGCTTTTGTTTTTGTTTTCTCTTCTTCAATTTTAATACCTTTTTGGTTTTCTCAAACAAAATAAGCTTTTTAAAAATATATATACTTTCTGCCAAGGCCAGCTGGCATTTTAATGCCGAGTTTTGGACTAATTGTTGCCCAGTGCGTGCATTTGGGAATTACGGCAGTTGGGGCTTTTGATGGCACTTAGAAAGCCGTTAATCCTAATTTTATGCACCTAGTCTGTTGGCCTGGCCAAGCCAATTTAATGGCTCACTTCCCATGGCTCATAATAATGTTGATTCCTTGCTGATTCATAAATTTGCGTTAGGCTGGGAGAAAAAAGTGGAAAAAATATGGTTGGGAGTGGGAGTTGGGGGTCACTTTACAAGTCCCCAAGCCAGTTAAAATCCCAACAAATTAGAGGTAAGAGATCACCTGGGTGGTCATTATGGAAAAAAGAAGGAATATTTTAACGTTTTTCCCTTTAGGCATCTGTGTAAGGAAGGGCAAGAAGTAGGCTTCATAGATCTATCAATCTTGTAGAACCAATCAACTTTATTTCAATGTCGAACTGAAACATTTTCAGTCAAAGTATATTTTCTTAATTTGAAAAATTAAACTTTTTAATTCTTGAAATCATTTTCCAACACTTATTAAGCCTATTAAAGCGTTCATCGATAATTGCCCTATCGCTATAAACATCGATAGTGCGCCTGAAGAGAGCACAGCCTATTACGACGCTAGCCAACACTAGAGGACGCTAAATAAGTTTTTAATTAAATGTTATGGTCGCAAATTAACATTAGCCATGTCAGAAACAGCTGCACTGAATAAAAACCACTCAATAAGGTTAATTTCGGTAAGTAGTTTCTCTATTTAATTATAAATAAATAAATATATGTAGATCCTTACCTTCAGTTATATATCAACGATTGTTTGGACTGCGAAAGGGTGCATCTGAAGTTCTCTACAAAAGATAATGTGCACTTGATTATCTATGATTTGGACAAGGATCTGTCAAAGGATCTGCCGGCTGTAACACCCGTGGCCCAGGCCATTCTACTGCTCTGTACTCTTTCGTATCCGAATGAACCCAGTCTATCGAAGCTTCCTCAACTCAAAATTGGCAAGGGAAGCCTTTCCTTGATCTTCGAAATGCATCCAATTGACAAACACGATAGCATGCAGCAAATTGAGGAGGTGGAAAGCGATTTGGACGAGACACCATCCACCTCTCAACAGGCATTGCTGCGAGAAAGGCAGCGAAAGGCTCGCAAGGATATGGAGGCCTCTTTGAGGAGACTTCAATCCAAAGTCATCACGGTGAACGTAGAGCGCCGTTTTGATGACCTAACTTCCCTGGACACAGTTTCCTATCAGATCAATGGAGGCCAGAGCAAAACCCTCACCATCACGGAGTTCCACGAGATGTTCTTTGTGCGGCACCAGCACTCCATTAACTATTTGGAGCATCTGCACCAGAAATGCTCCGGCAATTGGCTAAAGCTCATCCAAAGCAGTGGCGATGGCGATCCCTTTAAAGACTTAAAGTGGGTTTAATTTTAATATATAGAATCCATACTCACGCTTTCTTTCAGGGATCCCGACAGCCCCTTCGAGATATTTGTGAAACTTTTCGATCACCAGGCGATGCAGCCGCAGGATGTGATCACCAAGTTGGTGAAAAAGTGCTTGCATGTCAATGAGGCGGTGCGTCTGGCAGAGAGAAAGTTCGTCCTGGATGTCTTTAACCAGGTGCGTCGCATATTCGAGTTCATCACGATGAATGAATACACCGTTTGGTTCCTGGTTCCTTGTCTACATAACAAGGATCAACTGCGGCCTATGGTAAGCTGAGTTTTTTCAGCTTTAACAAAATTACTACACTTTTTGATACCTTTCAAGACCATAGATGATTTTGATTTGACAAAAGTGAGGACCTCCATTCGGGCTGCCGGAGATACTAGAAATATTTACTGGGATTTCACTGATCACAATATTAAGGACCTGCTAATGGTGGCTTTCCAACTTGCCTTGGCCACCAATGTCAACCAATCGGTTCTGGTTATAAGTCATTTGGAAAAGGTAAGTCTAGCTATAATTAGCTATAAATATAAACATTATTTTGTTAATTTATTATAACAGCTGTCCGAGTTTTTAACAATGCAATACGTTACGGCGAGCTTTATGAACGATTCCATTATTGAAAAGGACTCCGATCCCGTAAGTTCACAAATTTATATAGTTTTATACAATTTGTAATAAGCAATATACTTTCAGAAATGGATCTGCCATCGCTACTTGCAACGCATCATTGAGATGGCCTTGTTTATGGGCACAATCGTTATAATAGAATACCCCAGTTCTCTTACTCTATTAAAAGAACCTCGCCAGTTGATCAAGTGCTTCCAGATGGAAAAGAGAGGTTCATTGCAATGGAAAATATGCTCAGAGGTTATCCAGGACACTGACGAGCATCTCGAATTTCTCAAGGAGGCCATAACCAACAACAGGACTATATAGTTTTCAATGGAATTTATTAGGTGAGTCATATTATTCCACGAACATGGCATAAACCAACTTAACTTGCGTGCAATTTCAGCTTCGCCTCGAACAAAAATTCATTTATCTGCCGCCGTCTGCGGCTTTCCCACGCAAATATTTCCATGCTCATTTTCTAATTACGCCACAGCTTACGGGCCAACTGAACTGAACTCTGCCTGAAAACTCATTCTTCAGCTCCATTTCAATTAGGGTTTTGCCGGCTGTCAGTTTGAGTGCCACTGGTGGAGCAGTCGAGGGTCCTTGCACCACCATCTGCACCACCGGCACTGCCGACTGCCGGCTGCCGACACAAAAACAGCAACTACAATGGCTGTCAGACAAGAGGCACGCGTCATTTGCCGGCGAAATGCATTTTGCGCTAACCAAGACCATTTTTAGCTAAAATCACCCGGTGACCCAGTTGGATGGCTAAGAGCCCGGAGATGCATCCTGATGGAATGCTGACTGACTGGCTGACGGACTTGAATGATTGGCGGTTGTTGGGGCAATTCTTTTCGACGCTGATGGGGAAAATCATCCTTTCGGATGCGCAAACTAGTTCTAAATTTTCAATTTCCACTTTTCAAATCTAAATGAGTGACCGAGGCGAAGTTTTTTTTTCTAAATGTTTTCAGATTTTAATACTTGTCTTTGTGCATATTTATACTACTTTATATTTACAGTATTAGTTTCAAGTTATTTGATAATACTAAAGCCTTTAGCTTGCCGTTTTAAATTGTTTGATTTAAGAATAATAACGATAACTTAATTCACAGTTTAATGGCCAAGTTTAACTACCTTTGCTTTCATAAGATAAAAAGAAAACAAATATTAAAACCAATTAAGAAAATCTCTCCATCTTGATACTTTATCATGCCTGTTGGTAGAGAAATCAGTTGCGATCTAGCTGTGGGCTATTTATGTAATATGCAAATGCAATTTTCAATTTATTACCGAAACGGACGGGTCTACGCAGGTCATAAATAATGAACGAAAAATGCTTTAGACAGGTTTTTGGCTGCGATGCGTGCCATATTTCGCACCTCGTCCATGAGCTCGGGATGATCGCATGTCGGCACTCAGCCAAATGACAGGCCACGTGATACCCCTTCATTGTAAGCTCCCCTCTGTCATAAAGATATATGCATGTACATATATACTGTACATTAATTGCACAAGAAACAAATGCTGCATTTTCCAGTGTGAATTTTCCTGCGCTTCGCAATTTTGTGGCTGCCTTGGGTTGCTTTTTAGTTTTGGGTTTTTGTGCTTCGGCAATTGGAAAGTGCACATGAAATGTCTGGGAGGGGGTTTTCTTGTTCATGAACAGCAAATTAGTTTCTACTGAATATTATTTGATGGCTTTTAGGGGCAGGCAGCCGAGCATATGGATATTAGGAGAACTTAAATGCAAATGTAATGGCAATGAATGCCATTAACAAGGAGTTTGCTCACTTTGAATTTCATTTTGTCTGCAGTTGGTTAGTTAGTTAGTGTATAAAAACGAAGTATAATTATGAAGGAATGAAGCTTAACTAATAAGAGAAAGATATAGAAGGTGAAAGTACTCAGAGCTTGTGGATAAAACTAAATTTTAGCAGCGTAAAAAATAAAATTTAAGAAAATTATCCAATAAATCCTTTCAAAGTATGTCCAATTTAAGAACATTTTTATTCCCTCTTTCCATTTGCACTTGCATAAAAAACCCAAAGAAGGGCTAACCATGTTTTTAATAATTATAAATTAATAAGTTTTTTTTTTAACCTTTTTCTGCGCTTCTTGCCCCGTCTTGTCCCTTTTTGGGCTTTTTTCTTATTTGTGGCAATCTGTAATTGTGCGGGACTTGGCTCAAAAGCCGGCACATGGCGGAAGCTGGGCTCTTTTTTCCACTTACTCTACCCTTCTTAGTTTTTTGGCCGACCTCTGACCCAGCCACACCCACCCAACTCAGTGACCGACCACACTGGCAGCTGCTAAAAGCGCCAACGAGTATTAAAAACTCGTTTCGACTAAATATTTAAACAGTTTATTATGCTGGAGCCCCGATGCCATAACATGCCACACATGTGGGCGTGCCAATGCCACCCACCCGCCGCCACCCCTGCCATGTCTATGTAAAATGGCGCGTGCATTGCGCCAAAAGGAAATTCAAATTTGAATTAATTATGATGCCACGCCTGGATGCAGGTCCCCATGTCCTCGTTCCGGTGTCCTGGCATATATTGCAATTTGTTGCTGTTTTTGCCGCTGCTGTTGGTGTTGGGGCTGATGCCATCCGTGGTTCTGCGGGTCTTTTGGTCCCCGGTCCTTGCCACATGGGTGGGGCATTTGTTGCATTTACCAAATAACAAATAATAGCACTTACCGCCCCTAAGGGCGCGACAGGGTGCGGGGCGTTTGAGGGGCTGGTATTTAATTTTTTGTTTAACAAAATGCAAACAACATAAGCAGCTTGCCGATGGGTTAAAGTTGCCACCAGCGAATGAAATGTTTTGGAAAATTTGGCCAGCAAACAAGAGCTTAACTATTCCTGTGTGTGTGGGCTTTAAATTGAAAATCGAAGTGCAGCGAAAATGTGATGTAAACAAATATTGTGTGCAAATTAACCATACTTTCACTTTTTTTAAACTAGAGAAAGTTCGTTTAAAATGGGTAATCGGCTTATGAAATTTAGAAATTTATTTTTAATTTAGTTTGGCAAGACAGAGAATAAATATGAGCTTAAAATGGGTACTAATTCCTATCTTTATTTAAGTTTGTAAACTTAGTTTTAGTATTTTCAAGCTGAAAGTGCATAAAGTTCCGCCTAAACACTCCAAAGCAATTAAGCCACGAATGTAAATTCTCACTTTTGGCGGAAACACCTCCCACAAGGCTATTAACATTTAACTGATCAAAGCATCCAGGTGAGCGAAAGAGGAAAAACCAACCATTCAGTTCCTCAACCATCGAGTATAGCCACAAAAACGGCCAGCCAGAGCAACAATCGATGATGGCCAAAAAAAGAATATCAAAATGTGACGCAAAAAAGGTGGCTTTAATGGCACATTTGATGAAGTACAGGTAAGCCAAGGTAGAAGACTATCGAATACCTAAAATGTAACCAATACCTATCGCCTAAAAATGTTATTAAAATATTCAGAAATGATACAATTGTCAAAATGGTTAGGAAATTATATGATTTTGACAAACTAATCCCAGAAATCCTTGCCAGTTCATTATACCCCTTAAGTCCAGAAGTAATGGGTACAATAAAGTGTGGGAAAAGCGGTGAAAAAGAGAGTTTGGTTTCTGCATTTGCGTTTAATTACGAAATAATCCAAAGCGAGCGTGGCACAGGAAAATCGATGGTGTGGATGGTGGGTGGTAAAAGCGGAATGGAGATGAGGGAGGATATCCAGGAGGATGCGGCTGCCCATGTCAGCGCCAATGATCCAGCAGTGGACAGGCCGTTGATGTTGCTAACCCAATTAAACTGTCTCCCCACTGAACAGATAGCATCCTTGCACGCTCCCCCAGAACCAGAATCCTGCTCCTCAGTCAGCGCCCTCAACCCTCAAATGCAATTTGGTCCTTTTGGCCAACCGAATGAGTAGCAACTGTTTGGTCTGCTACGAACTGGCACTTTGCCCAAATAAACCGCAGAAGCAAAAGCCACCGCTTCATGGCCTTTGCCTTGCCTGATTTACCTCCTCCCCCACTCTTCATGCGCTTCGCGGCGCTTCAATAGCAATTTGCTTAAACTTCTTTTTTAGCTTTCCGTCTCACCGCAGTTGACGCCTTGGAATAAGGCCAGACTTGGCTTATTGAGAAAATAATATATCAGAAAAAACACGCTTAAAGTGGTTTCTAAGTCAAAGCAACTGCAACTCTATATCTTCATTTTACATCACGATATATACATATATAATAACACAAGTTTACCTTTGATTAAATTTTACCATTTTAAAATGCAGATCCTCAACCGACGTTAAATTCCTTTGATTTCCCTATCTATTTCAGCTTTTTTTTACAGCTGCGACCTGAAATTGAATCGAATGTTTTGTTTTCCCTTCAGGAAAATCTCCCCTTCCATGACTATTCTTTTAAATTCCTGCGGCAGGACAATTTTCAGCGCCATAAACGGCGAAAATTTCATTAGCATCAGGCTAGACATCATCTGCCGAACAAAAGGCGGCGGAAAAAATCCCTGGTATAAGACCATTTTATTCAGTCTGTCTGGGCCAAATCAAATTTGGCTAAATGTGCGCAGCGTGTTCTGAAAATCTGGAACGGAGGAAAGAACTTCGTCCTGGAAAATTTGAAGCTCTTTTAATTGTATTGTTGGAAGGCGTTCCCCTTATATTTGTAAAGTGCAAATATGCGAATATTGTTTTTCCTTTTCTTCTGTTAGATATATATATAGTATATACATATTTTCCAACTTTCTCTGTTGACTCTCAACATTTTGTGTTGACTTTCATCAGCGGCCTTGAGCGAACTCAAGACACTTCCTTCTCAGTTGCTCGAAGTCGACGTCTTTTGTTGAACTTCATCAAAGTTGGGCAAACAAATGCATTTTCCTTTTGCTTATGCAATTATCCCAGCCAAAACGAGAAAATGCCTGCTTTTCAGAGCTCGGCTTACGTATTTTCCTGCCATGTTTTTCTTGCCAAAGTGTTTACACAATCGAACAAATTCCCTTTGCCTGCCGCCTTTGCCTTTGCCTTCCCCTTTGCTTTTTGCCCAAGCATTTTTAATTAGTCTCCGTTGGGTTTTTCACTTTTCGGTGGTTTATAATTGATTTTTTGGGTGCATGAAGGTAAACAAGCACAAAGTCAATAAATATTTTGATTTAATTAATACCTTGGCTTAGTGGCAAACCTCGTCGATTAATTGGTAACCATGTAAAGGCATATCATTGTGATTCCATTAAATGTCGTGTGTATTTTCAGAAATTAAAAAAAATGTAGCACCTAAAAATAAAAGAGATGAGCTCAGCTGAATAAATATTTTTTTGCAAAGCTTTTTAGCTTTTTCAATTACCATTATTATTTCACGGGCTTTTTGTAATTTTTTTCCTAGCTTCGCGGATAATATAATATTTATTAAGTGTAAATAAGATTGCTCGGAATTATGTTGCACATTTGGGAATTTAATTATCAGCTTTTTGCCGGGCCACACTTTTTTATTCGAACTTAATTTGATGAAAAAGTCTGTAAAAAGGCAACAATTGGCAATTATCAAAATAACAATTATAGCCAAATGAGTTAAATTGGTTAAGCGTGAAATTGCAAAAAATTCAATTTAAATAGTTTGCTTACCTCTTACCCCTAAATACCATATAGAATATATCTTTTATTTGCCTCAACTTATTTGATGCGAGACAAACATCAGGAATTAGAGCCCGCTGGCAAAACATTCGTTTCATCACCGCTGTCTGTTCCCTGACGGGAAAGAGGAGGGTTGGGGAAAGTGGGGGGTGGGACAAGGCACAGCATGCTGTTTCCTCCAGGCCCAAAGGAGCATCCTTTGTTTGTAATTAATTTCAATATAGCAAGGCATTACAAGAGAAACTCAGTAAATTTCAAAGTATGCTGCGAAGCCAATAAACTCCGGCGAAGAGCTTCCATGGGATGGGTGGTTATGGGCTGCTAGTGGGTGGTGCTGGGTGCTGTTCTGTGGCTCAAACACTCGCAAACACATGGTGTGTAAAATACATTGTGAATATTGCACACGAGACGCGTGAGATGAAAGAAAATGCTAAAATTTAAACGTGAAACAGGTGGAGAGAGCGGGGAAAGTTCAGTGGGTCGGTGGGTGGACTATTCAGCCCGCCAAACAACACCACCCACCGCCCCCTGACTAGCGGCGTATTACTTTGCCCATAAAAGTAGTTAAATTATGTTGACTGAAAAACAGCGCCCTCACATGTGCGAGCATGTAGGTGGAGAGAGGAGCACAGGGGGCGCGGCATTTCAGTGGGTGGTGGGCTGTTGGTATGCCAAGGTTGCTGATACCAACACACACACACACATGCTCGTACAAATACCGATTCGTATTTTTGCGCCAAAGCAGATAAAAGTAACTCGCACTCGCCATTTTAGTTAAAATATTTGCACGTTCGCAGGGATTGCACGTCCATGGGCGGAGAAAGGGGGGTTAGCAACTGTTTGGTTAGCTTTTCATTTTATTGGAATTCTCATCCGCATATTGGCTGGGGAATTGTTTCGTTTCATACCGCCCTATTTTCCGATGAACAGCTTTAGTTCTGCCCACAAAATTCCCACAACAGGGAAGCCAACGCAGCGTCTCATTTAAGTTGTACACAAATCTGATAATACCAAAATATAAAAAGTTTAGTATTGCATATGGTTTTGATTTGAAAACACTATCTTGGACCTCTTTTGTTATTTCTATTATTCTAAAATAGTTACCAAAACATATCAAACAGTTATTTTTGTCATGTTGTCGTAGGCTGACTACATGGTCACCTTAAGTATCGATATAATTCCGATAACCGATGAAGCGAGGTTAAGCTAAGATAAGATCATTGACAGTTAAGCACTTTTTCGATTGGATTTATTCTTGGTTGAGGAGTGAAAGAAAGAAGACGTGTAGGTTGTACCTACAAATAGACTTTTAAAATGTAGAGAAACGAGTATATATGTACATATATATAGTATATATATATGAAGATGCTTAAGAAACCAAGTACATAGAGTATATTTGTATGTACATTAAATGGTTAACGAAATCCCTTCAGAAATGTAGTTGGGTTCCTCACTCTAGAAGCTTTTGAAAATCCTGACACAATATAAGGCAAGTTAAAGTAAGATTCGAATGATATTTTAAAAAGAGCAAATTATCGAAATATTAGAAGGCTATTAGACAACAATGAACAATTCATGTCAAGAACAGGAGAAGGATTACGAGCTGCCCGAGCCACCCACCGATTCCGTCTCCGCCCTGGAGTTTGTACCGAAAACTAGTACCTGGAATGCACTCTGCGCCGGGAGTTGGGATAATTCAGTGCGAATCTGGGAGGTGCAATCGAACCAGGTCGTACCGAAAGTCATGAAGGTACTGGGTGGTATACCTCTGGATATTTCTTGGCACCACTCGGGAACGAAGGTGTTTGTAGGTGATAGCAATGGGGCTGTGGTCGACTGGGATTTGGAATCTAACCAGATAATCAAAATAGGTGCTCACCAGGGAGCAACACGGACTTGCCATTGGGCGGACCAATTCCTGATGACCACCTCCTGGGATAAGACCTTAATTGTGCGTATCATGAATGTCATATAAAATCCATACATTAATTTGTGCTTACCTTTATAGTTCTGGGATCTTCGCACTCCCGGGACAATCGTCAAGAGGTTTCTTCCAGGTCGTAGCTATGCTGCTGATATATTGGATCCAGTGGCGATAGTGGCCAGTTCCGATGGATGCATCAGCGCCTATGCTTTGGATGATGGAGGCGTGGAGAAAGTGAGGATGAAGAGCGCCGGGAATAAGACCGCTCAAGCGCGATCCCTTGCTATAAATAAAAGCAAGGACACGGGGAACATAAGTTGGTTTCTAGCCAAATCGAATGGTGTGGTGTACGAGCAGAGTTCGGCAAACAGAATAGGTACCTTAGTCATTAGAAGTAACCGATGGGAGCCAGAAAATGGAGTCCTCAACGTTCATACTTTACACGATATCAAAATCAATAGGGAGAAGAACCAAATGGCCACCGCGGGATCAGATGGGGTCTTCTCTATCTATGAATGCAACACGTTCAAGCTGATGAAGAGCAAAAAACTTGATCAACCGATTACCAAGTGCTCCTATAGCGGTGATGGAGAACTCTTTGCCTACGCCTTGGGCTACGATTGGTCTAAGGGCCACGAGTACTTCGATCCTAACAAGAAACCACAAATACTTTTGAGACCCTTCGAGAAGGATGTTAGACCTTAGTTTTAAAATCTTTTCATTTTATTTTATTTATTTTTTTATTTTAGAATTAAATTTGTTGACTATCCAAATTGTAGGCATAGTTGTTTAAGTTCTGTTAGCCACAATCTATGTTAATCCCGAACCTTTGCCATCAGTTTTCACCATCTTGTGATTGCAATTTGGTAAGCCCTGTGTCGGCGACTCAAGCTTGATTGAAATATTGCAGCCAATTTCGCATGCAGCTCAAGTCGGTTTCCTGTCTTCCTGGCCTGCAAGTGAAACTGCTCCTTCTGCTGTTATCCTGCTTCCCGTTTGGCGACAATTAACAAACAGTCAACTAATGCTCATAATGAGCTTGCATGCGATTAATTTTCCACTTGAGCTGTTGAATTTCACGCAGCCTCTCGGCCTGATTCCTTGCCCCATCTCGAGTGCACTCCATAAATCATATTCCATTGTCGGTGGCAGTTTCATTGTAGGACGCCGGAGGAGGTTGCTAGGACGGAGGACAGAAGTCGGGGGTCTTATCTGGTCGGAGAATTAGGAGGTGGCAATCGACTTCATCCCCATCTCCATCTCCCAGCTACATAACCATATCCAGTCCCGCCGAATCCCGCACTTAATGCCGCTTCCCTGCTCGCCAGCTTGGCTCTGCATATCAGAGACTCACGTCAGATGTCACTAATCTAAATTTATGCAAATTGCCAACTGTCTGACTTGGCTCACATGCGATTTCCACTACCGCCACCGGCAGATTCCAAATGCAGATCCGGAGCATGGAGCAGCGGGCTGAAAGCTGCAAACTGAAGACTGAAAACCGAAAGAGACTTTGCAACAGTTGTAAAAATGCAGCTAAATTCAAATTTGACATCCAGCAAAGTCCGACTTGGAGTTAAAGTTGGAGGTGGCAGTGGAGCAGCGGAAGAAGTGGAGGATTTTCGCGGAGTCTTTTCCACTGCACTCATTTGGGATGCAGAGCAGCTAGCAGCTAGCAGCTACCAGTTACCAGTTGAATCAGCATCAGTTCGCCTGGCAAGCTCTTATTAAATTAAAACGAAGGCGTTTAAGTGCCGCCCAAGGCTACCCCATGCCAAGATTCAGAGACTCAATCTGATATGCAAAACATTTTTGAAATAACTCAGCCGTAAACAGTTTCAGCCGGAGTTTCTGTAGGTGGCTTCGGTGGAGCGGGGCACCTTCCATGGCCATGGCTGGCTCCATGTCTCAGCCAAGCTCAACTCAGAACTTCTCTCAAGCTTAGCCAAATTAATTGAAAAAGTTACACGCATCGCTAGTTCTTCTTATCCACCGTCTCTCTACCCTCTATCGCCTCCTCCAGTCAGACAGGCAGGCAGCACGCCAAAGGAGTCGAAAACATTCCAGTTGGTCGAAGGATTCGCACTTGATTAGTCGCCGGAATGGGATTGCAATAACGATTTCTGCATTGAGGTGGCCTGGGTTTCAGTTTCATTCTAAAAGTGGTTTATGGAATGGCAATATTATGGTTAAACTTTATTATTTTATGACAAGTTTTTGTCTGAAAATATGTTTGATTCATTACCGGTGTCATATTTCTATATCTCCAACTTTTGTAATGGGAAGTCAAAGTCGTTTATAGGGCAAATGAGGGAGGGATCCTTTAATATAATATCTTTAATTCGTTTTTGTCATAGATGAAAGAACGACTTCCTAAAGCTTAACTTTTTTAACTTATAACTCGAGAAAGTGATTTGAGTTAAGAAAGTTAAAGTTTTCTTTTCCTCTTTTTGAATCTTATTTTAGTTCTCCTCCAATTTTTTAAGACAATCAACAGCAAAGCCTAGACTTTTTGCCAATACCTATTAAAGAGGTTTCGTTTTTGGGAATCACCTGCCTTAGTCTTTGCCAGTTGGCAACGTTTTGAGAGCCTGAAGCTCACAGCTTGTAAGCTGCCTAGCTGGGCATTGCCTTTCGGTTTCATTATCGCGAAAACGGCACGCGATGCCAGAAAGAGGGCCAGAACCGAAAGCGAAGGGAAAACCCAGAGCCAAAGTCGCAGCAGCTCCGCACATTGGCCACCATTTACAAGTCGGCGCGTTTGTAATCGCTTGCAGCTCCATTTGCCCCTCTCCTCCCCTGTCCCGCAGCCAACAACAGCCACTTACGTGCCCATATGCAAAGCGACAAAGTGTGAAATTTCACTGAGCGTTGCCCCCACATGGAAATCGGAGGAGGATGGATGTGGATGTGGAATCGCACGTGTGCGTCTGGAGGGGAAGATTCCAGTTGACCAGCTGGCCATGTTTGCATAAGCCCCTAAATACCTGATACGGACCAAGTTCTCTTTTCCAGCTAATTAATGCAGCCTGGGGATTTTCTGTCTTAAAGGTTCTGATGGGAAAAACCAGTAATTGCAAAGAATATATATTTATGAATGTCCTTAAATGGCATTGAATTGAATTAAGATCTGCTACTAACATTTTCCCCTCAAAGTAACTAGCTCTTTGGAAGACTTGAGGTCTTTGAGAAGCGATAAATTCATTTCTAGCGTATCGCTGGCTGCACAAAAGGGCTCCCACTTTTGGCCAACATTTGTCAGCGGCTTGCGTCCCTATTTTATTTGCACTTGTCTTCAACTATACCCCCGCCATTCCCCGCCTAAGATGTAACAATTTTAACCTATAATTTATTCAGCTAAATCCTTTTGCCGCCACGAGCCAAGCAAAACGAGCGGAGCAGTGAAAATAAATTAAATGGAAATCATTTGTCTTGCTCAACAAAATATCACGCAAATGGGCAAAGGAAGAGCGGACCAGGCGAAACCTCGGTGAGGTTTTCCCTCTTCCATTGGTGCCCAACAAGTGGCAGCTCTGCAGGAAAATTTGCATAAAGAAATAATATTCATTGTGCGAGGGCGAGGGAGAAGGAGACTGGGCAAAAAGGATTTGAACATGTCAAAATTGTCCTTGACGGACGCTAAAGTGGATAAAATGATTTCCTTTTTATTCCCAGAGCGTTCGCCTTGGATTCTGGCCCGAAAGTTCTTTAAAAACAAGTTCTTTAAAAGCGGTCCCAGACCAAGGTCCATTATTTCGTTTAAAGACGCCCGCAAGTATGCAACAACTTTGTGCCGGCTCACTTTGCCTGGCCGGTCAGCTGCTAAACCTTTGGGGCTTATCACAACTTAACTACGTATCCGCTTCGTTCCATGGCAATTTTCTGCTGCCACGCCCATCCACGCCCCCCGGCGGGAGCTACACATAAACAAGGCATCCGGCGGTCGAAACTATCTGAAAATCTCAGTCGGGCCAGAAAGGGGCGATTAACAAGATTAAAAGCGCCATTAAATGCTTTGATTCGGTACAGGCTAAGACCACGCAACCGCAGATACGCAAATGTGTACGATGTGGATGTGGATGTGTGCTTTGCTGTGCGGCTCTGCAGATACAAAGATACTTTGGGCCAGGAGGTGGAGTCCAAAAGGCGCACCCAATAATTTATCCCCAAAAACGGCCCCTCCCAGAAATCTGTTTCTTGCTTAAAGGAACACATGTTTGCGGCTGCAGCTGCCAGTCGAATGTATCCCTCGGATACAGAACTTCTCCTGGAATGCCATCTGTTCCTTGGCCAGGACGTAAATTACGCAAAATTTGCTGTTAAGTAGTTTAGCGCCAGCGGCAGATACATTCGCATCCTCCAAGCCCTCAATCCCTCAGAGCGTGTGTGTGTTCGTGTCCGCCGGATTGATTTAGGTTTGCGGGTTAAGCTCAACACTTGATCCCGACTCGAATCAGAGCTAAATTATATATTTGGGGGGAAAACCTGTTTGGGTTCCAAAAAGGGATTAACGCAAACTTTTGGACACCACAAAAGTTGGAGTTTGGCTTAGTTTTGGAAGTCCCGAGAAATGTTGCATTTTGCATGTCGTGTTTTTGGTTTTTTAATTTAAAAACTAAATTGGAACAATGGCTAGAAATGAGACACAAACACGCACGCATTTCGCACATTTTAATTGTTAATACATAAATGCTGGCAAGCACAAAAAACTTTTGCTCTTTGAAAAATTAATATGCTTATGTTTAGTAATTTGCAAATGTGCGATAAAGTTCGGAGGTGAGAAATATTTAGAAATGAAATGAAATCCAATTTTAAATGCAAACAGAATGAAGAGACAATGCGTTTCGAAAGTGTATGGCCTGTGACATAAACTTTTTATTACATTTGAATGCTATTAGATATTTTAGCCATGAATTAAAAGAACTCTGAGGACATAGGATTGATTTATTAAATAAATTATGGAAACCAAAATCCAATTTCCAATTTACAAATTTGTCCCTCAACTTTCCCAAAAACGTGCAACATTTTAAAGTGAAATTTATTGCATTTTTGCAACTGTATTCCGGAATTTAGTAATAAATGAAATTAAACAATGGAGCGAAGGCAACACAGCGCCAAATTGCATTACAGTCAACGGCAAAGGGCAGTTGCATAAATGGGGAAAAATAATTTAATGGCGAATTGCAGTGGCGTTAAGCCGAAAGGGGGTGAGTGGCAGCCGCACGGCGGCAACTAATTTAAATTGAAATTAAAATTGATTGTTTTTTAAACGCGTCACGTAGGCCATCCCCAGGGCCCCCGTGCAGGAGCTGGACTTCGATGGGCGGCTGTTTAAGTGCGTGTCAGAGCGAAACAGAGCGGTCTATAGTTCCGCAGCAACGTCACTTGCAACAATGCCGGGGCAACAAACAAACAAACAAACAAACAAACAATGGCGATGCGAAAAGAGCGGAACGCTCAGAATGTTCAACAAGCAAACAAATTCGTTAACAAATGTTCGAAATTGCAATGGCAACGACAATAACAACAACAACAACGGCAACAATGTTTAAAACAAAAGCAAAACAAAAATTGAAATTGGCCAGCTATGGAAAGACCGTTGAATGGGCAAAACGATGAAACAATAAACGAACAAAAGCGACTATCGGTATGCCCTTTTGATTTTGAAATGTGTTTATAAATTCTGGCTTGTATTTAAATATTAT